TCTCCAGGTTCTGCACACTAAGTCTCTTCTTCACATATACTTTGCCCTGCACACACAGCAGTTCTCTAGGTTCTGAGTCTCTGCAGCCAGCACACAGCAATGGAGCAGTCCATGTGCAGATCTCTCCACAGCACAGCTCACAGTATTCCACAACTCTGCCTTGTGGCTCTTCTCCTGAGCTTCTTTTTCTCCCACTTTTACTTTCTCCTTTTCTCAGTACCAGTGGGAACTGCTAAAGGACCAGCTGGCTAAAGCAGCCAATTAGCATCCTTGTCTGATCTTCAACAAAATAGCCACCAAGCCTCCGTTACTGAGGACACTTTCTCTTCCAACCTGGAACTCCCTGTGTGATTGTTACATCACCTCCTGTTTGTGCCTCCTCTCCTCCCTTCACCTGAGCTAAAGGGACTGCCGGCCAGGCTACACAACCCTTTTTATTTTTGTTTTGGATAGAGTAGTGAATGGTTAAAACCAATTGCAATTTTTTCTGATGAGTGAATCTATCCAGCAGTTTCAAACCCCTTACTACTATTATTAAACCTAAAAACAAACATTTTGGCTTTAGATACACTTTAGATTGCCTTTCATACTCTTCATGAATTAAGCCATTCCTCTTTTTGAAACAACTTCGATCTTCCCTTACTTTCTAGGTGTCTGGCAATGGTCAAAGAACATATAGAAAGATATAAAGGGGAAATAGACAGCAATAAAATCCCAACAGTGAATTTAACACTTCCTCACTTTTCACAAAGAGTTTTTGCTGTAGATACAAACTACGTGCACTTTTGCCACCTTCCCCTGCCCTAACCTAACCCACCCTCCACCCAATGACTGCGGTTCTGCTGTTTGTCTACGTCCAGAGCTACAAGTCTTCACTGTCCTGGCCACACCTGAGTATTACAACCTCATATACTTCGATGGGACAATCTCTGACCATCGAACATAGAAGTCTATAGGGCACTAAAGCGCAGGTGTGGCCAGGACAGTGAAGACTTGCACCAATGGATGTAAACAAACAGCAGAACCAGAGACTTCACATGGAGGTAAATATGCATCTGTGAAGGGGAGGGTGGGTAAGGTTAGGTCAGAAGCAGGGGGCAAAAAGGATAAATGCACTTTGTTTTAAGGTGTACTTATCCTTAAAGTGCTATGCTACATCAGAGATTTTAATGTGTTACTGAGAGATTTAACTATATTGTGGCAGTCACCTAATTAGGCTAAAGCTACACAAGAGAATTTTATTATCACAGCAATTAATCACTAAGCAGATAAAAGAAAATGGCTCCCTACTGAGTAAGCTACATAATAAGCATTTAGTAGCATGGAGTAATGATTAGAGATGAGCTCAGGTTCGGACCAATCCTAGTCCAAACTTGAGCTCCTCCAAACCTGTAGGGGACATGGGACCACCCACCTAATCAGTTTCGGGAAGGGCCATCCTGGGGCACTTATCAAATTGAATAAAACACATTCAATTGTATAATTTGACAAACCAAAGGTAAACAAATAAGAGAAATTCATTGTTAGAGTTTACATACACTTTAAATGCATATCCTTAACAGTTCAATATCCAAATATAAACATAACATAATATAAACATAACACTGATCAATGAATGAGTATAAATATACAACTAAAAAACACAAACACAACACAAAAGGGATAAAATAGAATGAAATCAGGATAATAGGTTTACGTACGTCTTTTAATTTGTATCCCCAGAGCTCCTGATGAGTGCCCTGGTTGTTAGAGTTTCTTGTAATCTTCGTAAGCTCCAAAATCAGCAGTAAAAGTTTGGAAAACCACAGTTTGGATTGTGGCATTGTACTTCTACTGGATTATCCTAAGCTGAAATTTCCCTCTACCTACACTTACATGGCAATAAAGTAAATTAGGCTCTAAGACTGCAGAAGCAGTTCTCTTTGATGTTTATAGCTCATTAAAACTTGCTTAAAGGGCCAGACAACCCAAAAGTCATATCAGTAAAAGACAGAGCCTGGTGTGCAGAGTCAGCCGCTGACTTGTAATATCTCTTGGATACTCCATCTTCGAGATAATTAATTATTTGGTTAATGGCCCTTTATAATCATCCTTATAGGCATCCATGAGGAAAACAGTGAATGCCAATGGGTATTTTTTATTCAGTTTTGATGAGCATGGGATGTGTTTTAAATCCTTTCATGAACAGGAGTTATTGAAGCCTAGATCTAATCTAAATTCCCATATCTGATTTAGCAGTATCATTTTTCATTCGTTAACTTAACAATAATTTGCCTAGCTAACAAAATTTGACATTGTTTTTTAAGGGCATTAAAAAAAAATTTTGCACAGTTTTTATAAATACCAATGCTGAGGTTTTTCTTACATACACATAAATAAGCAAAACATTTTTAAAAGTATTATTTTCCACATAATACATTTTAATTCATGTTTTAAAACTTTTTAAAATAATTTACTACAAATTTGTATTACTTTTATTTCATCATGAAAGATTCAGCTTGGAAGCTGTAGCTGTCAATGTGCCTGTCACAGCTGTAGCTGTCAATGTGCCCATCACAGTGACAGCCGAGGCAGTGCATTTGTTGTGTTGAGGAACGATAATCTACGAACTGCTCATGGGAATCGGTTAAACTGAACTCATGGGGAATTAAGAAACTTACAGCTTTACCCTTTGGGTGAAGATTTTGTTAGATTTAGATTTTGTATAAGTATACTAAAAGTATATAGCCAAAAGCACTGTCTGTTGACACCCCTCCAAAGTATTGACCTAAGGTGTTTCTAGTAAAAGGTACTGTTAATGATGCAGCATACCAAGGCATTTTACTGAGTTGTGTGCCTCTAACCTTGTGACAACAGTTGGGGAAAGCCTTTTTCTGCTCTATCATGACCTGAGCAGACAGTCAGCTCCATAAAGACATGGAGGTCGGCCCTCTATTTGTGGCTATAACAGAATCCATTCTCAACAGCATATTCTATAACAGCATCTCATACTCCAAGAGTATGGAGTGTGTTTGTGGCAATTTGTGTCCATGTAGCCATTTGTAAGGCCAGGTATTGCTTTAAAAGACTTGATGGCTCATGATCATGTTCAGATTCATCGCAATGGAGGTCGATAAGGTTTAGGTCAGGGCTGTATTCAGGCCACACTCTAACACTCTATAGCAGTGGCGTCACAAGGGGCCCACACCCGGGTGACACCATTGGAGTGGTGACACCAAAATGACTCAGTCATTTTGGTGTCACCCCTCTCTGAAAAGTCGGGCGCTCGGTCATGGACAGAACGCCCGACAGTATCAGGAGAGAGGAGGGGACCTGGCGGCATACCTTATCATGCCGGGTGACTGTCCCCTCCTCTCTTAGCCTGCATCCATCACCAAGATGGCCGCCGGCAGGTAGCAGAATACTGCCGCGCGTGCGCGATGACGTGATCGCGCACGCGGGTGGTGACATCACACGCATGCGCAGTGACGTCTCGGCGGGGTGACACTCGGTTACCGCTCCGGGTGTCA